CATCAAGGCATACCTCGTTTCCTCCTTCACCAGCATCAAGGCATACCTCGTTTCCTCCTTCACCAGCATCAAGGCATACCTCGTTTCCTCCTTCACAGCATCAAGGCATACCTCATTTCCTCCTTCACCAGCATCAAGGCATACCTCGTTTCCTCCTTCACCAGCATCAAGGCATACCTGGTTTCCTCCTTCACAGCATCAAGGCATACCTGGTTTCCTCCTTCACACCATCAAGGCATACCTCGTTTCCTCCTTCACAGCATCAAGGCATACCTGGTTTCCTCCTTCACAGCATCAAGGCATACCTCGTTTCCTCCTTCACAGCATCAAGGCATACCTGGTTTCCTCCTTCACAGCATCAAGGCATACCTCGTTTCCTCCTTCACAGCATCAAGGCATACCTCGTTTCCTCCTTCACAGCATCAAGGCATACCTCGTTTCCTCCTTCACCGCATCAAGGCATACCTGGTTTTCTCCTTCACATCAAGGCATACCTCGTTTCCTCCTTCACAGCATCAAGGCATACCTCGTTTCCTCCTTCACAGCATCAAGGCATACCTCGTTTCCTCCTTCAAAACAACAAGGCATACCTCGTTTCCTCCTTCACAACATCAAGGCATACCTCGTTTCCTCCTTCACAGCATCAAGGCATACCTCGTTTCCTCCTTCACAGCATCAAGGCATACCTCGTTTCCTCCTTCACATCAAGACATACCTCGTTTCCTCCTTCACAGCATCAAGGCATACCTCGTTTCCTCCTTCACATCAAGGCATACCTCGTTTCCTCCTTCACAGCATCAAGGAATACCTCGTTTCCTCCTTCACAGCATCAAGGCATACCTCGTTTCCTCCTTCACATCAAGGCATACCTCGTTTCCTCCTTCACAGCATCAAGGCATACCTCGTTTCCTCCTTCACAGCATCAAGGAATACCTCATTTCCTCCACATCAAGGCATACCTCGTTTCCTCCTTCACAGCATCAAGGAATACCTCGTTTCCTCCTTCACAGCATCAAGGCATACCTCGTTTCCTCCTTCACAACATCAAGGCATACCTCGTTTCCTCCTTCACAGCATCAAGGAATACCTCGTTTCCTCCTTCACATCAAGGCATACCTCGTTTCCTCGTTCACAGCATCAAGGCATACCTCGTTTCCTCCTTCACAGCATCAAGGAATACCTCGTTTCCTCCTTCACAACATCAAGGCATACCTCGTTTCCTCGTTCACAGCATCAAGGCATACCTCGTTTCCCTTCACAGCATCAAGGCATACCTCGTTTCCTCCTTCACAGCATCAAGGCATACCTCGTTTCCTCCTTCACAGCATCAAGGAATACCTCGTTTCCTCCTTCACAACATCAAGGCATACCTCGTTTCCTCGTTCACAGCATCAAGGAATACCTCGTTTCCTCCTTCACAGCATCAAGGAATACCTCGTTTCCTCCTTCACAGCATCAAGGCATACCTCGTTTCCTAGTTCACATCAAGGCATATCTCGGTTCCTACTTCACAGCATCAAGGCATACCTCGTTTCCTCCTTCACAACACCAAGGCATACCTCGTTTCCTCCACATCATCAAGGCATACCTCGTTTCCTCCTTCACAGCATCAAGGCATACCTCGTTTCCTCCTTCACCAGCATCAAGGCATACCTCGTTTCCTCCTTCACAGCATCAAGGCATACCTCGTTTCCTCCTTCACAGCATCAAGGCATACCTGGTTTTCTCCTTCACAGCATCAAGGCATACCTCGTTTCCTCCTTGTTTGTCCAATAAGGAAAAAAGAAACCGAAAGATGCTTCGTAGGTGCATGGTAGCACCGTCGTAGGTGCATGGTAGCACCGTCGTAGGTGCATGGTAGCACCGTCGTAGGTGCATGGTAGCACCGTCGTAGGTGCATGGTAGCACCGTCGTAGGTGCATGGTAGCACCGTCGTAGGTGCATGGTAGCACCTTCGTAGGTGCATGGTAGCACCTTCGTAGGTGCATGGTAGCACCTTCGTAGGTGCATGGTAGCACCTTCGTAGGTGCATGGTAGCACCTTCGTAGGTGCATGATAGCACCTTCGTAGGTGCATGGTAGCACCTTCGTAGGTGCATGGTAGCACCTTCGTAGGTGCATGGTAGCACCTTCGTAGGTGCATGGTAGCACCTTCGTAGGTGCATGGTAACACCTTCGTAGGTGCATGGTAGCACCTTCGTAGGTGCATGGTAACACCTTCGTAGGTGCATGGTAGCACCTTCGTAGGCGCATGGTAGCACCTTCGTAGGTGCATGGTAGCACCTTCGTAGGTGCATGTTAGCACCTTCGTAGGTGCATGGTAGCACCTTCGTAGGTGCATGGTAGCACCTCGTAGGTGCATGGTAGCACCTTCGTAGGTGCATGGTAGCACCTTCGTAGGTGCATGGTAACACCTTCGTAGGTGCATGGTAACACCTTCGTAGGTGCATGGTAGCACCTTCGTAGGTGCATGGTAGCACCTTCGTAGGTGCATGGTAAGACCTTCGTAGGTGCATGGTAGAACCTTCGTAGGTGCATGGTAAGACCTTCGTAGTGTGCATGGTAGACCTTCGTAGGTGCATGGTAGCACCTTCGTAGGTGCATGGTAGCACCTTCGTAGGTGCATGGTAGCACCTTCGTAGGTGCATGGTAGCACCTTCGTAGGTGCATGATAGCACCTTCGTAGGTGCATGGTAGCACCTTCGTAGGTGCATGGTAGCACCTTCGTAAGGTGCATGGTAGCACCTTCGTAGGTGCATAGTAGCACCTTCGTAGGTGCATGGTAACACCTTCGTAGGTGCATGGTAGCACCTTCGTAGGTGCATGGTAAACACCTTCGTAGGTGCATGGTAGCACCTTCGTAGGTGCATGGTAGCACCTTCGTAGGTGCATGGTAGCACCTTCGTAGGTGCATGGTAGCACCTTCGTAGGTGCATGGTAGCACCTTCGTAGGTGCATGGTAGCACCTTCGTAGGTGCATGGTAGCACCTTCGTAGGTGCATGGTAGCACCTTCGTAGGTGCATGGTAACACCTTCGTAGGTGCATGGTAGCACCTTCGTAGGTGCATGGTAAGACCTTCGTAGGTGCATGGTAGAACCTTCGTAGGTGCATGGTAAGACCTTCGTAGGTGCATGGTAGCACCTTCGTAGGTGCATGGTAGCACCTTCGTAGTGCATGGTAGCACCTTCGTAGGTGCATGGTAGCACCTTCGTAGGTGCATGGTAGCACCTTCGTAGGTGCATGTAGCACCTTCGTAGGTGCATGGTAGCACCTTCGTAGGTGCATGGTAGCACCTTCGTAGGTGCATGGTAACACCTTCGTAGGTGCATGGTAGTACCTTCGTAGGTGCATGGTAACACCTTTGTAGGTGCATGGTAGCACCTTCGTAGGTGCATGGTAACACCTTCGTAGGTGCATGGTAGCACCTTCGTAGGTGCATGGTAACACCTTCGTAGGTGCATGGTAGCACCTTCGTAGGTGCATGGTAGCACCTTCGTAGGTGCATGGTAACACCTTCGTAGGTGCATGGTAGCACCTTCGTAGGTGCATGTAGACCTTCGTAGGTGCATGGTAGCACCTTCGTAGGTGCATGGTAACACCTTCGTAGGTGCATGGTAGCACCTTCGTAGGTGCATGCTAACACTTTCGTAGGTGCATGGTAGCACCTTCGGTCTGTACTGGTGGAGACACTGGCCAGGCCTCCTTACACCTGTTGCCCTTATACACTCACCAGTAAATAGGCACCTGGGTGTTAGGTGTCTTTTGTTGGTGGTATCTTGAGAGCTGGTAGCATACCTTAGATATTGTTGGTAGCATACCTTAGATAGGATTAGTAGCATAACTTTGATAGGACTGGTAGCATAACTTAGATAGGACTGGTAGCATAACTTAGATAGGACTGGTAGCATAACTTAGATAGGACTGGTAGCATAACTTAGATAGGACTGGTAGCATAACTTAGATAGGACTGGTAGCATAACTTAGATAGGACTGGTAGCATAACTTAGATAGGACTGGTAGCATAACTTAGATAGGACTGGTAGCGTAACTTAGATAGGACTGGTAGCGTAACTTAGATAGGACTGGTAGCATAACTTAGATAGGACTGGTAGCATAACTTAGATAGGACTGTAGCATAACTTAGATAGGACTGGTAGCATAACTTAGATAGGACTGGTAGCATAACTTAGATAGGACTGTAGCATAACTTAGATAGGACTGGTAGCAATAACTTAGATAGGACTGGTAGCATAACTTAGATAGGACTGGTAGCATAACTTAGATAGGACTGGTAGCATAACTTAGATAGGACTGGTAGCATAACTTAGATAGGACTGGTAGCATAACTTAGATAGGACTGGTAGCATAACTTAGATAGGACTGGTAGCATAACTTAGATAGGACTGGTAGCATAACTTTGATAGGACTGGTAGCATAACTTAGATAGGACTGGTAGCATAACTTAGATAGGACTGGTAGCATAACTTAGATAGGACTGGTAGCATAACTTTGATAGGACTGGTAGCATAACTTAGATAGGACTGGTAGCATAACTTTGATAGGACTGGTAGCATAACTTAGATAGGACTGGTAGCATAACTTAGATAGGACTGGTAGCATAACTTAGATAGGACTCGTAGCATAACTTAGATAGGACTGGTAGCATAACTTAGATAGGACTGGTAGCATAACTTAGATAGGACTGGTCTTTGAGATGAAATATGATATGAGAACAGCTGGTCTAGCTATAAACTGAACAATGTAAAATGAACCAAAGAAAACATTAGTACAGAGAAGATAATTGGGTCATTCATTCGAGAGAAGGAGTAAACTTCAGCTGGTGAGTTCACAGCACACATCCCACGTGATCATAAGCAACTACAGCTGATCAAAGAAAAAAAATAAAGTAAACAAGCTCCAAAAAACTAAAGCATCTTTGGTGTTAAAGGCTTACCACCAAACTCATCCACTTACATGAAACAAAGCTGAGGGTTTCTTACCAGTGTGACGCCATGCGTGGTGCCGCAGTGCGCCAAATACTGCATGTTGGCGTAATAGACCATTGTGGCGGCGATCCACCTGTCAGAGAAGGCCGGCGAGGGAGAGCTTGACCAAGCTAGAGGCAAGCTAGCAGAGCTTTCATCAAGTTCACACGGTGAAGATGATCTTTTGATCTGCTTCCTCAGTGATAGTGAGCGAGACAAGTCGCATGAAGATGTATCACTTTTGTGCACTCTAACATCTACTGTGTTATCTTTGTGGCTAGTGGCTTGTGAAAAGTTCTGTTGAGCAGCTCGGGGCTTGTGCTGGCCGTCTGACACCTTTAGGCTACAGTGATGTGATTTTCGTTTATCGGGAAAGAGAGACAGGCTGGATGCACTAGCAGACTTGTCCTCGATGTCAATATTGCAGCTTTGTGGAGTAGCGACCACGTCATTTACGCTGATCCGTCGCTTATTGACAGAAGCAAGTTTTTTCCAAGGGTACTGAAACCCAAGGCTAGAGTCCTTCCTAAACGAAGAGACTGGTCTGCTCTTCTCTATGGGCACAGCACATGGAGCTTCATGTTTATCATGCTGTACTTGCTGCTGGGTGCTACTCAAGGTGATTAAGTCCAATAAATTCCAATCACTTCTTTGCGCGCTTTCTGAAGCTTTTTGTGTATTGTAATGTTTCCCGGTATAAGCTTCTGACTTGAGGTAATCGCATATTACATGTGAGGTGGCAGGAGGGAGAGTGTGTGGTGTAGGGACGCCCTCCTGTGAGACAGGGACGGAATCACAATGAAGAGCAGTGGCCTCGTCAGGGCTGTCGTCCAGCAAGTCCCTAAACGACACGGCGGTGAGTGTAGGCTGCCTCCTCTTGCCACTGCCTCTCTTGTCCCTCTCCGCTGCCTCCTGTCTCCACCACGGCCACCTCCTGGAGGACTCCAGCACTCCGGCACAGCGGCAAGATTCCCCACAAAACTGGTGCCCCTTCTCTCTCTGGCCCGCAGTACCAGTGCTGGTCGGTCACAAGGTTATCACGCCTCTGCTCTCTTTACTCACACCACCCACTGACTGTTTAACGTCTGCTCATCTGATAACCCAGTTAGTGACGATATAAGAGACGTCAGTAAACGTCTACGGACTTAATGCTCAAGCCTTTATCTTAATATTGCAAATATGTTTGCTAAAACTGTTTTCAAGGTTAGAAATATTTCCACTATATTTATTTACAATGCTCACAGCTTAATAGCTCACATGTCATCCGTGTTTTTAAGTACATTAATTACCCACCAAGACATAAGCTTCGAGACGCTCTCACACACAATATGTTCCAGAGAAAATGAGGCACGAACGGGCATTACAAATTACGCAGGTATTGCACTGAAAAAGTTTTAAATATTTTGCTGTTTGCGTTCAATCATGTCAACAGTACGGGATAATCTATTATCACAGGCAACAGGCGTTCATGCATTCAACACTGAAGTGTTATTATTGCTGATCTGCGTGTGAGAGAGAGGGAGAGAGGGAGGGGAAGGGGGGGGGGGAGTTTATGTGGAGTAGGGAGACACGTGTGACGTGGGTAGTCAGGTTTTCTGAGATGGATGTAGCCTCAACAGTGTGTGTGTTGGGCGTGCAGGTAGCATGGGTGCAAATAAACACAGGGGACCTTCGTGACGTCTGGATAGGAGTGCATATGTCACTGGTGTATGAATACACAGGACCTAGTTGTTGCGGCGTCCTGGTGGTGTCCAGTATCCCGTAGAAGACAAGCAGCAAGTCAGGGCGGAGCAACACATGGAGCACCCTCACCACTCACATCACTGCGACAAGAGCTCTTGTGGTGGTGTCGGTGTGAAGGAGAGAGGGAGACTGGAGGGGAAGATGGAGATGAGACGGTGTCGCCCTGGAGAGATAGGTGGGAGGGGCGGAGAAAAACCGCGAGTGGCGGTGCCACTAGAAGCAGCAAGCGAGGTAAGGCCAAGCACTAAACTAGTCAGATGAAGTGTGTGTGAGCTGGCTGGTTGGCTGGCAGGAGAACTGGCTGGCTAGCTGGCTGACTGGCTGGCTGGCTGACAGGAGGGCGGGCGGGAGGGCGGGTTGGTGGCGGTAGCAACCGAAGGGAACCACGCCTGGTTTGTTGCCATGGTAACCATCGTAACGCCCCTCAGATTCAGGTGCCACCACTTTACCCTCACAGATTGTAAAACCACAACACGTGTCCCTCTTATTTCTATACTAGTGTTTTATTATTATTCTCACATCCACAACTGTGATAGCTGGGACACATGTTTTGTCCAAGACACATGTTCAATTAAACATGTGTTACCTGAGATGTGACAGGCCAAGAGCTACATTTCAATTTCCATGAACAAAGAAATCTAATTACACATAAGTGTAAATTTTAGGCATACTCGCATTTCCCTCCCCTCCCCCCCCCCTCACACACACAAACCAGCTTAATAAGTTCTACGACAAAGTAAGAGAAGTGAGGCAAGAGCAGAATGGACGGGTAGACTGTATTTTCTTTGGCTGCACCAGAGACCGAGACAAACGTTAAAAAAGATATATGAATAAGAGAGAAGGCACTATAATGGATCAAAAAATACCCAATAGGAAGGAAACAAGAAGTAATTGTCTGGGAAAAGGAGTCAATATGGGCAAGCATGATAAGCGGGGTTCCACATGGATCAGTACTGGAACCTGTACTATTTTTGGTGCACGTATACCTGGAGGGTGTTCAGGGGATCAACGTCCCCGTGACCCGGTCGACGATCAGGCCTCGCGGTGGATCAGGACCTAATCAACCAGGCTGTTACTGCTGGCCGCACGCAAACCGACGTACGAACCACAGCCCTGTTGGTCAAATGAAAGACATAACGGAGAAATAGTCACAAGCATCCCGAGCCCTGATCATGGACCAGGCTTCGGGGGTATTGACCCCTGGAACACCCTCCAGGTGCACCCTCTTCCAGGTATGTGACATTAACCAGGAATATAATAACAAAAGAAGTCAGACAGACTTTTACAAGATACAAGATTGCTTTAACAAGTGATTACTGGAACTCATCCCCAGTAAATACAAGTTTATGAAAATTGGACAAGGGAAAGGAAGCTGAGAAACAGAGTACAGGTCGGCGGAACAGAGGCTGCAAATCTCACTCAAGAAGGATCTCGGGATGAACATAGTATCATGTATATCGCCTGAGGCGCATATCAAATGAATAACTTCTGAGGCAAATGCTCGTCTGGCAAATCTAGGATTAACTTTCAGGGATCTCAACACATAATCATTCACGGTACCATATACACGATATGTCAGGCTCATCTTGGAGTATGCAGCATCAGTATGAAACCCTCGCCTAATCAAGTCAAGAAACTGGCAAAAGTGCAAAGGTTTGCAGCAAGACTTGTCCCAGAGGTAAGAAGTATGAGATATGGGAAAAGGCTAAAGGAGTTTAGTGTAATGACATTAAAGAACAGAAGGGAAAGGAGAGACAAGACAATGATGTGAAAAATATTGAAAGGAACTGATAAGATGGAAAGGGCAGGCTGTTTGAGAAACGGGGAACGAGGACACACATGCAAGTTAAAACCAAAAATGATGTTAAGTAATAATTCTTCAGCCTCAGAATGGTCAAGAAATGGACTGACCTAGACAGCGTAGTAGTAGAGCCAGAATCCATACACAGCCTTAACACGCACACGCACAAACACACACACACACACACACACACACACACACACACACACACACACACACACACACACACACACACACACACACACCGCAGGAAGATTGAGAAAACCTGGAGCCACACGGGAGTCCCGAAACATGGAGAGCCAAGATGATGGATGTGGTACTGGAAAACCTCATGCACCAACATATTAAGGACACCACCAGAGTGAGAGGGAAGGACGAACCAGCAAGACTGGACCTTGTGTTCGCCTTGGGCAGTTCAGGCATTGAGGACATACATAGTAGAGTTACAAGTGGAGAGGGTAACAAGAGTTGAATGGGAAAAGTCAGACTATAAAAGAGGGGACTACATAGGTTTGAGGACCTTCCTGCAGGAGGTTCGATGGGACAGAGAACTGGTAGGAAAGTCAGTAAACGAAATGATGGAATACGTAACAACAAAATGCAAGGAGGCAGAGGAAAGGTTTGTTCCCAAGGGCAACAGAAATAATGGGACGACCAGAATGAGCCTCTGGTTTACCCGACGGTGTAAGGAGGCAAAAACTAAGTGCAATAGAGAATGGAAAAAGTACAGAAGGCATAAAACAAATGAAAATAGGGAGATCAGTCGCAGAGCCAGGAACGAGTATGCATAGGTAAGGAGGGAGGCCCAGCGACAGTATGAAAATAACATAGCATCGAAAGTCAAGTCTGACCCGAAACTGCTGTATAGCCACATCAGGAGGAAGACAACAGTCAAAGACCAGGCGATCAGGCTGAGGACAGAAGGTGGGGAACTCACAAGAAACGATCAGGAGGTATGTGAGGAGCTAAACAGGAAGTATTTACAGTAGAGACAGGAAGGTCTCTGGGAAGACAGCACAGAGGGGAACATCAACAGGGAATATACCAACAAGTGTTGGATGACATACGAACAACGGAGGAGGAGGTGCAGAAGCTGCTAGGTGACCTTGATACCTCAAAGGCGATGGGACCGGACATCTCCCCATGAGTCCTTAGAGAAGGACCAGGGACGCTGGGCATGCCACTAACCGCAATCTTCAATACATCCCTTGAAACTGGGCAACTACCTGAGATATGGAAGACGGCAAATGTAGTCCCCATTTTTAAGAAAGGAGACAATCACGAGGCACTAAACTACAGACCAGTGGCTCTGACGTGTATAGTATGCAAAGCCATGAAGATTATCAGGAGAGTGGTGGAGCACCTGGAACGGAACAAGGTTATAAATGACAACCAGCATGGATTCATGGAAGGCAAATCCTGTGTCACAAACCTTCTGGAGTTTTATGACAAGGTAACAGAGGTAAGACACGAGAGAGAGGGGTGGGTGGATTGCATTTTCCTGGACTGCAGGAAGGCCTTCGACACAGTTCCTAACAAGAGATTAGTGCAGAAGCTGGAGGATCAGGCGCGTATAACCGGGAGGGCACTGCAATGGATCAGAGAATACTTGACAGGGAGGCAACAACGAGTCATGGTACGTGAAGAGGTATCACAGTGGGGTCCCACAGGGGTCAGATCTAGGACCAGTGCTATATTTTTGATATATGCGAATGACATGATGGAAGGGATAGACTCTGAAGTGTCCCTGTTAGCAGATGATGTGAAGCTTATGAGAAGAATTAAATCGGATGAGGATCAGGCAGGACCACAAAGAGACCTGGACAGTCTGGACACGTGGTCCAGAAACTGGCTTCTTGAATTCAACCCTGCCAAATGCAAAGTCATGTAGATTGGGGAAGGGCAAAGAAGACCGCAGACAAGTATAGGCTAGGTGGACAAAGACTGCAAACCTCACTCAAGGAGAAAGATCTTGGGGTGACCTTAACACCGAGCATGCCTCCGGGGACACACATCAACTAGATAACTACTGCAGCATATGGGCGCATGGCAAACCGGAGAATAGCGTTCCGATACCTTATTAAGGAATCGTTCAAGACACTGTACACTGTGTACGTCAGGCCCATACTGGAGTATGCAGCACCAGTTTGGAACCCACACCTGGTCAAGCACGTCAAAAAGTTAGAGAAAGTACAAAGGTTTTCAACAAGGCTAGTTCCAGACCTCAGGGGAATGTCCTACGACGAAAGGTTGAGGGAAATCGGACTGACGACACTGGAGGACAAAAGGGTCAGGGGAGACATGATAACGACATACAAGATACTGCGTGGAATAGATAAGGTGGACAGAGACAGGATGTTCCAGAGAGGGGACACAGAAACAAGGGGTCACAATTGGAAGCTGAAGACTCAGTCAGAGATGTTAGGAAGTATTTCTTCAGTCATAGAGTTGTCAGGAAGTTTAATAGCCTAGCAAGTGATGTAGTGGAGGCAGGAACCAGACATAGCTTTAAGACGAGGTATGACAAAGTCAGAAAGCAGAGAGAAAGAGAGAGGACCTAGTAGCGATCAGTGAAGAGGGGGGGCCAGGACCCGAGTCTCCACCCCTGCAACCACAATTAGGTGGGTACTACCCACCCGTATACAAAGACCACAAGGATATGCTAGAAAAGGTCCGAAAAAGAACTACAAATTGGGTACCAGAGTTATAAAAAAGTGAGACATGGTGAAAAACTGAAAGAACGACAGTCATAGGTTGGTAGCCAACAACCATCCACAGAGGTACTACCTTCCTCAGGTTGGTAGCCAGCAACCATTCACGGAGGTACTACCTTCCTCAGGTTGGTAGCCAGCAACCATCCACGGAGGTACTACCCTCCTCAGGTTGGTAGCCAGCAACCATCCACAGAGGTACTACCTTCCTCAGGTTGGTAGCCAGCAACCATCCACGGAGGTACTACCCTCCTCAGGTTGGTAAGCCAGCAACCATCCACGGAGGTCTACCCTCCTCAGTTGGTAGCCAGCATCATCCACGGAGGTACTACCTTCCTCAGGTTGGTAGCCAGCAACCATCCACGGAGGTACTACCCCTCTTCAGGCTGGTAGCCAGCAACCATCCTCGGAGGTGCTACCCTCCTCAAGTTGGTAGTCAGCATCCATCCACGGAGGTACTACCCTCCTCAGGTTGGTAGCCAGCAACCATCCACGGAGGTACTACCTCCTCAGGTTGGTAGCCAGCAACCATCCACGGAGGTACTACCTTCCTCAGGTTGGTAGCCAGCAACCATCCACGGAGGTACTACCTTCCTCAGGTTGGTAGCCAGCAACCATCCACGGAGGTACTACCTTCCTCAGGTTGGTAGCCAGCAACCATCCACGGAGGTACTACCCTCCTCAGGTTGGTAGCCAGCAACCATCCACGAGGTACTACCTCCTCAGGTTGGTAGCCAGCAACCATCCACGGAGGTACTACCTTCCTCAGGTTGGTAGCCAGCAACCATCCACGGAGGTACTACCTTCCTCAGGTTGGTAGCCAGCAACCATCTATGGAGGTACTACCTTCCTCAGGTTGGTAGCCAGCAACCATCCACGGAGGTACTACCCTCCTCAGGTTGGTAGCCAGCAACCATCCACGGAGGTACTACCCTCCTCAGGTTGGTAGCCAGCAATCATCCACGGAGGTACTACCCTCCTCACGTTGGTAGCCAGCAACCATCCACGGAGGTACTACCTTCCTCAGGTTGGTAGCCAGCAACCATCCACGGAGGTACTACCTTATTCAGGTTGGTAGCCAGCAACCATCCACGGAGGTACTACCCTCCTCAGGTTGGTAGCCAGCAACCATCCACGGACGTACTACCTCAGGTTGGTAGCCAGCAACCATCCACGGAGGTACTACCTTCTTCAGGTTGGTAGCCAGCAACCATCCACGGACGTACACTCTCAGGTTGGTAGCCAGCAACCATCCATCAGAGGCACTACCTTCCTCAGGTTTGGTAGCCAGCAACCATCCACGGGTACTACCTTCCTCAGGTTGGTAGCCAGCAACCATCCACGGAGGTACTACCTTCCTCAGGTTGGGAGCCAGCAACCATCCACGGAGGTACTACCTTCCTCAGGTTGGTAGTCAGCAACCATCCACGGAAGTACTACCTTCCTCAGGTTGGTAGCCAGCAACCATCCACGCACGTACTACCTTCCTCAGGTTGGTAGCCAGCAACCATCCACAGAGGTACTACCTTCCTCAGGTTGGTAGCCAGCAACCATCCACGGAGGTACTACCTTCCTCAGGTTGGTAGTCAGCAACCATCCACGGAGGTACTACCTTCCTCAGGTTGGTAGCCAGCAACCATCCACAGAGGTACTACCTTCCTCAGGTTGGTAGCCAGCAACCATCCACAGAGGTACTACCTTCCTCAGGTTGGTAGCCAGCAACCATCCACGGAGGTACTACCTTCCTCAGGTTGGTAGCCAGCAACCATCCACGGAGGTACTACCTTCCTCAGGTTGGTAGCCAGCAACCATCCACAGAGGTACTACCTTCCTCAGGTTGGTAGTCAGCAACCATCCACGGAATTACTACCTTCCTCAGGTTGGTAGTCAGCAACCATCCACGGAATTACTACCTTCCTCAGGTTGGTAGTCAGCAACCATCCACGGAGGTACTACCTTCCTCAGGTTGGTAGTCAGCAACCATCCACAGAGGTACTACCTTCCTCAGGTTGGTAGTCAGCAACCATCCACGGAGGTACTACCTTCCTCAGGTTGGTAGTCAGCAACCATCCA